CAACTACCCTTCTCCAGCCAGCAACACACAGGACCTGGAGGGGAGGTCGCGGTTACCAGGCTCCACTTTCAGGAGAAAACTGCTCAGCTACCGACACTACCACCTCTGTGACGCCGCCGAACGCCCCCGCCTGTGACGTCGCCCCAAGGCCCACCCTTATGACGTCACCGGAGGCGCGCGCTTGTGACGTCGCAGAGGCCCGCTCCTCACTCGGAGCCAATCGGAACTCGCGGCAAGGCTGCAGGTCTTCCAGGAGCGCTCATGCGCGGACGGCTGCCCGCAGGCGGCCGGGGGGATGTAACCGGCAGCTGAGCTGGCCTTTTTGTGTCCACAAGCTTCGGCGCGGCTGCGGCCGCCCATAAGCTACCGGGAGGAGCTTTACGACTTCCCCGCCTGCAGGGCCGGGTGTAGCAAGGGCCAGACGCGTCACGAGCAGGCGCTGCGCCCCAACCGGCCGGCTCCTGGCGGGCCGGTTGCGGAGAAGCTCCTCAATGGCCAGCGGCAGCTGCAGTCCCGGCCGTGCACTCGCCTCACCTGATCCCGGGTACGTGCATCCCACAACACCTCCCCCAGCCAGGGCCCGAGGACCCCCGGGAACGTCCCCAGCCACCTGGCGCGGCTCATCCTGGGCAGGGTAGGCCCCCTCTGAGGTTGCCCCGCATTAGGGAGCTGCACCGCCGAGCTCAACCTCTCACGGGCCGTTGTAATCGCATTAAGCCTTTGAAACTTTGTAGCGGTGTAAAAGGGGTTAGAAAACGAAGAAAACATCTTTTTAAAAATATAAGCGATCGGTCGGGCGCGGTGGCCCACACCTGTAATCCCAGCATTTTGGGAGGTCGAGGCGGATGGATCACGAGGTCAGGAGTTCAAGACCAGCCTGGCCAGCATGGTGAAACCCGGTCTCTACTAAAAATACAAAAATTAGCCGGGCGTGGTGGCGGGCGCCTATAATCGCAGTTACTCGGGAGGCTGAGGCAGAGAATTGTTTGAACCGGGAGGCGTAGGTTGAAGTGTGCCGAGATCGCACCACTGCACTCCATCATGGGCGACAGACCGAGACTTTGTCTAAACAAATGTGTATGTGTGTGCGTGTGTGTATGTATATGTGTGTGTATGCTTGTATGCGAGTATGCGATCGAGCCCGGGAGGTTGAGATTACAGTGAGCCGAGATTATATAAACGATCAAGCAGAGGAGGTTGAGGTTACAGTCAGACGAGATTGCGCCATTGCACTCCAGCCTGTGTGACAGAGGGATACTCTGTCTCTAAAAACTTACATGCAAGTGAGAACTTTTCTTCCAGCGCTCATGCTCAGACTGAAGAAAGTAATTGGGCCGGGCCCAGTGGCTCACGCCTGTAATCCCATACTTTGGGAGGCCGAGGCGGTGGATCGCTTGAGCTCAGGGGTTCCAGACTAGCTTAGGCAACATGGTGAAACCCTGTCTCTACAAAAATACAAAAAATTAGCTGGGCATGGTGGCACGCGCTTGTAGTCTCTGCTGCTTGCAGGGCTAAGGTGGGAGGATCCCTTGAGCCCAGGAGGTCGAGGCTGCACCTCCTGGCCTCAGGCAATCCTTTTCAGCCTCCCAAAGTGCTGGGATTACACTGTATTTTAATGCTTTTTTTGAAAATGGAAACTTTTACAGGGAATTCACTTCCTTCAAGCTAGTGATAAGGAAATGATGCTATTCTGTTTTGTTTTCTGTGTGTGCGTGTGTGTATGTGTGTGTTTTTTCGAGACAGGGTCTTGCCCTGTGCCCAGGCTGGAGTGAGGTGGTGAAATCATGGCTCACTGCAGCCTTGACCTCCGGGCTCAAGGAATCCCTCCCCGTCAGCCTCCCCAGTGGCTAGGACTACAGGTGCATGCTACCATGCTTGGCTAATTTTTTTTTTGAAATGGAGTCTTATTGTGTCTCCCAGGCTGGAGTGCAGTGGTGCAGTCTCGGCTTACTGCAGGTATGTCTCAAAGCCCTGACTTCAGATGGTCCTCCCACCTGGGCATCCCAAAGTGCTGGGATTACAACTGTGATCACCGTGCCCAGCGATTTTGCTCATTTTAGATACTATAACTTTTTAAGTTTTTTTTTCCCCTGAGATGGAGTCTTGCTTTGTTGCCAGGCTGGAGTGCAGTGGCATGATCTCGGGACACTGCAACCTCTGCCTTCTGGGTTCAAGCGATTCTCCTACCTCAGCCTCCTGAGTAGTTGGGACTACAGGTGTGCACAACCACATCCAGGAGCTCAAGGCTGCAGTGAGCCATGATAATGCCACTGCAGTCCATCCTGAGCAACAGAATGAGACCCTGACTCCACAAATAAATAAATCAACATCATGTGATCTGTACCAGGATACAGGCAGGTGCTATTATCCCCACTTTTCATCCTCAACTCTGAGTTGAGTCATCCATCAACTCTGATGACCTTTACGTTCACTCCCCTTAAGCCATCCACAGGAACAGCTACTTCACATAGAAAAGTCAATCTCAGAGGGTTGAGTAATTTGCCCAATTACTGTAAAAGGTAGAGCTTCAGTTATCACCCAGGTACATCTGATGCGAGTATTCCCTCTCCACCCCTCTGTGTGGCTTTTAATTTTTTTTGAGATGGAGTTTCACTCTTGTTGCCCAGGCTGGAGTGCAATGGCGCAATCTCGGCTCACTGCAACCTCCACTTCCTGGGTTCAAGTGATTCTCCTGCCTCAGCCTCCCGAGTAGCTGGGACTACAGGTGCATGCCACCACACCTGGCTAATTTTTATATTTTTAGTAGAGACGGTGTTTTACCATGTTGGCCAGGCTGGTCTCGAACTCCTGACCTCAAGTGATCCACCTGCCTCTGCCTCCCAAAGTGCTGGGATTACAGGCATGAGCCATCACACCTGGCCCCAGTACATGTATTTTGAATGAGTGAATGAATGGACACTCAAAAAAATGTTAGCTATTAGCATCTTTGCACAAACAATAGGCCCACAGCAAATATCTTTTCCCAAATAAAAAGGAAGTCCTCACCACAGAGATTAATTATTTCACCACTCCAGAAAAAAAGACAAAAACTTTTAAAAGAGTGTTTTGTGGACCGAGCACGGTGGCTCACACCTGTAATCCCAGCACTTTGGGAGGCCAAGGCGGGTGGATCACCTGAGGTCAGGAAGCCTGATCAACTTGGAGAAACCCCCATCTCTACTAAAAATACAAAATTAGCCAGGCATCGTGGTGCATGCCTGTAATCCCAGCTACTCGGAAGGCTGAGGCAGGAGAATCGCTTGAACCCAGTACGTGGAGTTTGCGGTGAGCCAAGATCGCACCATTGCACTTCAGCCTGGGCAACAAGAGTGAAACTCCGTCTAAAAAAAAAGAAGTGTTTTGTGGTGGAGCACGGTGGCCCATGCCTGTAATCCCAATGCTTTGGAAGGCCAATGTGGGAGGATAAATTGAGGTTAGGAGTTACAAACCAGCCTGGGCAACATAGCAAGACCCCTTCTCTACACAAAATAAAAATTCAAAATTAGCCAGGCGTGGTGGCACACAGTGTTGCCTTAGCTATTCAGAAGGCCAAGACACAAGGATTGCTTTAGCCCAGGAATTCAAGTCTACAGTGAGCTATGATCGCGCCACTGCACTCTAGCCTGGGAGACAAAGAAAGACCCTGTCTGAAAAAATCATGAATGAAATCTTGCTTTGCCCTCTGTTCTCTGAAATCCTTCTGCTTTCCTGAGGATGTCAGCATCGACATGGATGAGCATGCAATTCGCCTGACTCACCATCCCACGTCTTCCTCAGCTCTGATGACCTTTGCTTCCACTCCCCTTAAGCCACCACAGGTACGGCTCTGGTGATCCTTTTGGAGGGCTACATTTCTGAAACCTTAAACTCTGACGTTCTTTTTACTTGCCCTTTGTGGCCAATTCTATTTTCCAAGGTGACTGCAACAAGTTCTCGCAGGCTGGAGTGCAATGGTGTGATCTTGCCTCACTACAACCTCTGTCTCCAGGATTCAAGTGATTCTCCTGCTTCAGCCTCCCAAGTAGCTAGGATTACAGGCATGTGCCACCACGCCCGGCTAATTTTTGTATTTTTAGTAGAGACAGGGGTTCGCCATGTTGGCCACGCTGCTCTCCAACTCCTGACCTCATGATCTGCCCACCTAGGCCTCCCAAAGTGCTGGGATTACAGGTGTGAGCCACCACACCCATCGGTATAATTTTGAAAATACTTATCCATGTTGTAGCATGTGTCAGTAATTCATTTTACTGAGTAGTGTTCCATTGTAGGGATATACCACAATTTGTTTAGCTATTTATCTGTTGATGAACATTTGGGTTTTTTCTAGTGTTGGGTAGTCACAAATAAAGCTGCTATGAATATGTTTTCATTTCTCTTGGATAAAACTCAAAGATTGGCATTGCTGGGTCTTTTTTTTTTTTTTTTTTGAGATGGAGTTTCACTCTTGTTGCCTAGGCTGGAGTGCAATGGCTCAATCTCGGCCCGCTGCAACCTCCACCTTCCGGATTCAAGCAGTTCTCCTGCCTTAGTCTCTCTAGTAGCTGGGATTACAGGCATGTGCCACCAAGCCCAGCTCATTTTGTATTTTTAGTAGAGATGTGGTGTCACCATGTTGGTCAGGCTGGTTTCTAACTCCTAAACTCAGGTGATCTGCCTGCCTCAGTCTCCCAAAGTGCTGGATTATAGGCATGAGTCACCGCGCCCGGCCTTGCTGGGTGTTATGGTAAGTATATGTTTAACTTTACAAGAAACCGTGGGCCTAGTGTGGTGGCTCGCACCTGTTATCTCAACATTTTGGGAGGCCGAGGTGGGCAGATCACCTGAGGTTAGGAGTTTGAGACCAGCCCAGCCAACATGGCGAAACACTGTCTCGACTAAAAGTACAAAAATTATCCAGGTGTGGTGGCTCACACTTCTGATCCCAGCTATTCGGGAGGCTGAGGCATGAGAATTGCTTGAATCCGGGAGGCAGAGATTGCAGTGAGCTGAGATCGTACCACTGCACTCCAGCCTGGGTGACAGAGCAAGACTCCATCTCAAAATAAAAGATAAAATAAAATATAGTATAATTACATGGGCTGGGAACCCCAGCCCTTGTTACGGAGCCTCTTTGACTCTCCTCTGATTCAGAACCTTTTCAGAATCTACTGTGTACTCTTTCAATGCCTGGGGGCCTGAACAAATTTATCCCTACTACCAAAGCAAGTAAGCTTGGTTCTCACAACTATGCGTGACCTTCACAACCTCTGTACTGGCTTTTATTTTTTTTTCTTACACAGGTGAAGGTAAGAGGTCAGTGCTAACAAAAGGTGAAGGAAGCAAGGTGATCTTAGAAGCCTCTTGAAAGATACAGAGATTGAGAAGTTGGGAAAGCGTTTGTTTGAGCAAGGAACTTTTTTCCTCTTATCTAAAATCAGGCGTTCGAAGGCTGGCCCTGCAGGAAAACTTGCTTTTGTGCTTTGGAACTATTGGCAAGAAGGCCTTGTCAGTGGTGGCTTTTTTTTTTTTTTTTTTTTTTTTTTAAATCAGTTGGTCCTTTGCTTGCCCCAGATGAAGTAGCTGGGGCCAGCCAGGCAGAAGTTCTGTTCTGAGCTGCAGAAGGCAGTGGTCTGGATGGGGCCTGGAAGCCGCTGTGTCTGAGAATCTGAGAATAGACCTTCACACCGGCATGTCTTCTACCCCTGGCCCTGCCCTCTCCCTCCCTGTTAGAGCCAAATATGAAGAATCCAGAGTCCATTCTCCGGCAATGATTTTTCTGTGTGTGGAATTCTGATGTACACAATTTACTTTGAAGCAACTGAACTTAGTAGATTTTTTTCCCCTATAGCCACGAGAATGTTAAATACGCTTGTATTGTGAGTCACTCCTGGTGGAGACAATGAAAAGAGGAGGAAATTGGCCAGGCGTGGTGGCTCACACCTGTCATTCCTGCACTTTGGCAGGTGAATCACTTGAGGTCAGGAGTCTGAGACCAGCCTGGCCAACATGGTGAAACCCCATCTCTACTAAAAATACAAAAGAATTAGCCAGGCACAGTGGAAAGCACCTGTAATCCCAGCTACTCGGGAGGTAGGAGAATTGCTTGCACTTAGGAGGCGGAGGTTGCAGTGAGCCGAGATCACATCACTACACTCCAGCCTGGGCGACAGAGTGGGACCCTATCTCAAAACAAATAAAAAATAAAAAGGAGGAAATCAGAAGTGCACAGGGAGGTACAGCATTTTGCAGAGCAGGATGGGAAGAGCTAAAAGCAGCTGTGGTCGAGTTTGCTCAGCTGCTTAATCAAGCAGGGAGGGAGTTGATACTCTTGTAACCCAACGGGTGAAGGCCATCTCCCCTGGCCTGACCATTTCATGCTCAGCGTTAAAAGTCCTAAAATCCAGCTCGCTCTCCTAGCGAGGGGGTGGAAAAAGAATCAGCTTTCCAAGTAAATTCAATGTAAAGTGTGTCTCTAATATTCTATTTTGGCCAGCACGGTGGTTCACGTTTATAATCCCAGCACTTGGAGAGACTGAGGTGGGAGGATCATTTGAGGCCAGGAATTCAAGACGAGCCTGGGTAACATAGTGAGACCTCATCTCTACAAAAATAATAACATGGCTGGGTGTGGTGGTGCATGCCTGTAGTCTCAGCTACTCAGGAGGCTGAGGCGGGAGGATCCCTTCAGCCCAGGAGGTTGAGGCTGTAGGGAGCTATGATTGCACTATTGGCACTCCAGTGTGGACGACGGAAAAAGAGACCTTTTCTCTAAAAAAATAAAAGCCAAAAATACTTGTTTCTTTCAGGAGGCAGGTGTCAACAATTCTGAGCTGTAAATCACGCCTAGTGGTCAGTTGGGGATGTGTAAATCAGTTCTAACTTTTAGTGGAGGAAATGTACATTTCCTTTCAAATTCAAGGCTGATGGTCTTGCTTTTTTTTTGAGACAGGGTCTCGCTCTGTCACCCAGGCTGGAGTGCTGTGGCCTGATCTTGACTCACTGCACCCTTGAACTCCTGGGCTCAAGCCATCCTACCACCTCAGGCTCTTGAGTATCTGTGACCAAAGGCGTGCACCACCATGCCCCACCAATTTTTTTTTTTTTTTTTTTTTTTTAAGAGAAAGAATCTCGCTATGTTCCCCAGGCTGGTCTCAAACTCCTGGGCTTGAGCGATCCTGCTGTCTCAGGGCTTGAGCCATCCTGTTGCCTCAGCCTCCCAACGTGCTGGCACCATATGTGAGCCACTGCACTGGCCAATCTCATTGAAGCTAATGCTAGTGTCAGCAGTTGGAAAGAGGTTCAAGTACCTAGTTTGTCTTTTTTTTTTTTTTTTTTTTTGAGATGGAGCCTTGCTCTTGTTGCCTAGGCTGGAAGGAATGCACTGCTGCGATCTCGGCTCACTGCAACCTCCGCCTCCCGGGTTCAAGTGATTTTCCTGCCTCAGGCTCCTGAGTAGCTGGGACTGCAGGCCCCGACTAATTTTTGTACGTTTAATAGAGCCCGGGTTTTGTCATGTTGGCCACACTGGTCTGAAACTCCTCACCTCAGTTGATCCACCGGCCTCAACCTCCCAGAGTGCTAGGATTACAGGTGTGAGCCACCACGCCCTGCCAAAGTACCTGGTTTTTCAAATATGGCCAGTAATTATTTGTCTGATCATCTCAACAACATTGGAAGCCTCTGAAGATGGCGCCTATGCATTCCTCTCTCGGGTCTTATGTCAGGGTCCCTGGGGACTGGCTTTGAGGTTCTGGTGCCCGTCAGTCGTTTTCAGGAGCATTGCCCATTCTTAGTTATGTTGTGTTGCCTCATGCAGCTTCTTTTTTTTTTTTTTTCTTTTTTTCTTTTTTTTGAGATGGAGTTTCCCTCTTATTGCCTAGGCTGGAGTGCAATGGCATGATCTCGGCTCACCAAAAACTCTAATTCCTGGGTTCAAGCAATTCTCCTGCTTCAGCCTCCCGAGTAGCTGGGATTACAGGCATGCGCTACCACGCCCAGCTAATTTGGTATTTTTAGTAGAGATGGGGTTTCTGTATGTTGGTCAGGCTGGTCTTGAACTCCCGACCTCAGGTGATCCGCCCACCTTGACCTCCAAAAGAGCTGAGATTACAGGTGTGAGCCACCACGCCGGGCCTTCTCATGCACCTTCTTAAAAAGTGTTTTATCTTGTCCCACTTACCTCATTTTAGCTCCTCTTACACCATTTGTCTGGTTTCTGGCTTCCTCTTCACTCACCTATGGTTCATTCTCCATACTTAGTGGAATTACACTATGGTAAGTGCTGCTTCTCTGCTGATAGACATGCTGACTTCAAGACCTTATTAGCTTGATTCCTGCTGGACCAAAGCCAAATGAGTGGTTTCTTTTTAGTTTTTCTTATGTTTTATCTATTTTTTAAAGAGACAGGGTTTCACCACGTTTGCCAGGCTGGTCTTGAACTCCTAGCCTTAAGCAATCCACCTGTCTTAGCCTCCCAAAGAGCTGGGATTAGAGGCATGAGCCACCACGCCGGCCCTTGTTGAGTTCTTTTTTTTTTTTTTTTTCTGAGACAGAGTCTCGCTCTTTCACCCAGGCTGGATTGCAGTGCAGTGGCGTTGTCTCGGCTCACTGCAACCTCCTTCTCCCAGATTCAGGCGATTCTCCTGCCTCAGCCTCCAAAGTAGCTGGAATTACGGGTGCCTGCCACCACGCCTGGCTAATTTTTATATTTTTAGTAGAGATGGGGTTTCACCATGTTGGCCAGGCTGGTCTTGAACTCCTGACCTCAAGTGATCCTCCTGCCTCGGCCTCCCAAACTGCTGGGATTACAAGCTTGAGCCACTGCACCCAGCCCCTTGTTGAGTTCTTAATAACTGCTTAGGTTCAACTCTATTTAATTCATAAAGTATTTAGCTCATGAAACATTTAACTAACACCTACTGGGTGCTGGGTGCAGAGATAGAAGATAATTCTTTTAGTCAAGGGGTCTGCCCTGGAAGAGCCTACATTCTCACAAAACCGGAGTGATTTATGGATTTTCTGGGTTGATGGGGTGGAAATAATGTGGTATAGGGGAGGTCACTTGATCTGCACCATGAAGAAATAGGCCTTTCCTCATGACATGGGGTATATGGTGATTCCAGGCAGAGGAGCAGCATTTGAAAGAGTGTAGAGGAATAAAAACCTGACATAGGCCAGGTGTGGTGGCTCATGTGTGTAATGCCAGCACTTTTGGGAGGCTGAGGTGGGCAGATCACCTGAGGTCAGGAGTTCGAGACCAGCCTGACCAACATGGTGAAACCCCATCTCTACTAAAAATACAAAAATTAGCTTGGCGTGGTGGCTCAGGTACTCAGGAGGCTGAGGCAGGAGAATCGCTTGAACCCAAGAGGCGGAGGTTGCAGTGAGCCGAGATCACACCACTGCACTCCAGCCTGGGCGACAGAGCAAGACTCTGTCTCAAAAAAAAGAAAAAAGCCCACATATGACATGCCTAAGAATCAAGTCCGACCAGGCGCAGTAGCTCACTCCGGTAATCCCAGCACTTTGGGAGGCTGAGGCGGATGGATCACCTGAGGTCAGGAGTTGCAGACCAGCCTGGCTAACACAGTAAAACCCCATGTCTACTAAAAATACAAAAATTAGGAGGACGTGACGGCACACACTTACAGTCCCAGCTACTGAGGATGCTGAGGGAGGAGAATTGCTTAAACCCAGGAAGGGAAGGTTGCAGTGAGCCAAGATGGCACCACTGCTCTACACTCCAGCCTAGGTGACAGAGCAAGACTCCATCTCAGAAAAGAAAAAAAGAAACAAGTTCTTAGTATTCCTTGAGCCATAAATTGTACATGTGACCAGACACAGTTGCTCACGCCTGTAGTCCCAGCACTTTGGGACGCCAAGGAGCATGGACCATTTTAGCCCAAAAGTTCAAGACCAGCCTGGACAGTATGGCAAAACACCATCTCTACTAAAAATACAAAAATAAGTTGCGCATCGTGATGCATGCCTGTAGTCCCAGCTGCTCAGGAGGCTGAAGTGGGAGGATCGCTTGAGCCAAGGAGGCAGAGGTTGCAGTGAGCTGAGATTGTACCACTGCACTCCAGCCTTGATGACAGAGTGAGGCCCTAACTCAGAAAAAAATGTGAGTGTGTGTGTGTGTGTAAAAATGTGTGTGCATATATGTGTATTTGTGGGGAATGAGGTTGGTAAAATACATAGGCATAGGAGCCAGATCATGAAGGGCATAAATTGTGTAATAAAGACATTGTGTTAATTGGCTGGGTGCGGTGGCTGTGGTGGGATGCGATGACTCACACCTGTAATCCCAGCACTCTGAGAGGCCGAGGAGGTTGGATCAGCTGAGCTTAGGAGTTCGAAACCAGCCTGGTGAACTTGTTGAAACCCCATCTCTACTAAAAATACAAAAATTAGCTGAGCGTGGTGGCGGGCACCTGTAATCCCAGCTATTCGGGAGGCTGAGGCAGGAGAATTGCTTAAACCTAGGAGGCAGAGGTTGCAGTGAGTCAATATTACCCCACTGCACTCCAGCCTGGGTGACACAGCAAGACTCCTTCTCAAAAAAACAAAAAAAAAACACAAAAAGTATTACTAGACACTGAAATTTGCATTTCATTTTTATTTATTATTGGTATTACTTTTGAGACAGGATCTCACTCTGTCATCCAGGCTGCAGTGCAGTGTCATGGTTGTAGCTCACTGCAGCCTCAAACTCGTGTGCTCAAGCAATCCTTCTACCTCACCCTTCTGAGTAGCTAGGTCTATAGGTGTGTGTCACCACACCTGGCTAATTTTAAAAATACTTTTGTAGAGATGGGATCTTGCTATGTTGCCCAGATTGGTGTTGAACTCCTGGCTTCAAGTAAACCTCCAACTTCAGCCTCCCAAAGTGCTAGGATTATGGGCATGAGCCACTGCAGCCAGCCTGAAATTTGAATTTCATTAATTTTTACATGTCAAAAAATACAATTCTTCTATTGATTTTTTTTTTCAACTGTTTAAAATGTAAAAATCAGCCGGGCATGGTGGCTCACACCTGTAGTCCCAGCTACTCTAGAGGCCAAGATGGAAGGATCACTTGAGCCCAGGAGTTTGAGGCTGCAGTGAGCTATGATGGCACCACTGCACTCCAGCCTGGGTGACAGAGTGGAATTTGTCACCAAAAAAAAAAAAAAAAAAATTCATTTTCAATCCCTGTCCTCTGCAGCTTGTGCAGCAGTATGCCTCGCAGAGTTTCTTCCTGTAACTTCACCATTTTCCTTCTCCTTCCCAGGCTCAAGTCAAGACATAAAGGTGGTGGTCCTGCAGGCTCTGTCCTTGGCGCTCTTCTCTTCTCCCTCTCTCTATTCTCCATGGACTTTATTTTTATTACTTTTTATTTTCTTGAGACAGGGTCTCGCTCTGTCACCCATACTGGAGTGCAGAGGCATGATCTCGACTCACTGCAGTCTCTGCCTCCCAGGTTCAAGCAACTCTTCTGCCTCAGCCTCCCAAGTAGCTGGGACTGCAGGTGCATGCCACCCTGTCTGGCTAATGTTTGTATTTTTAGTAGAGTTGGGGTTTTGCCATGTTGGCCAGGCTGGTCTTCAACTCCTGGCCTCAATTGATCCTCCCGCCTCAGCCTCCCAGAGTGCTGGGATTACAGGCATGAACCACTGCACCCAACCTCTCCCTGGACTTTAATCAGACCATGTCTTCAACTAGCACCTCTACATTGGCAATGTTGTGTATGTTAAGCTGTTATATTTAGCTCTGACCTTTCTTCTGAGGCTTAAAGCCTTTCCCAGTATCTGGAAGTTAAAGTCTAAACTCCTTAGCCTGGCCCTAGGACCCGCTTAGTCTGAACTCCTGATGCACTGCCAGGCCCCTGGGCCAAGCCACGGGATAGCTTCCAGCAGGTCATCTGCTTCCTCCTCCTTGTCTTTGCTCATGCTCCTCCCTCTGCCATCACAAGCCTCTCTCCTTGTCTCTGCCTCCCTTCCTCTCCTCCCAGCACATGCCAAATCAATGCCCTGCCCTTTGACAACCCACTCAGAGGGCCACTTACCTGTCAGATTCAGCTCAAATACCTTTCCCTCCTTTTCTTTTCTATTTTCTTTTCTTTTTTTTCTTTAGAATCAGGGTCTGGCTCTGTCATCCAGGCTAGAGTACAAGGGCGAAATCTTGGCTCACTGCAGCCTCCACGTCCCGGGTTCAAGTGATTCTCCTGCCTCAGCCTCCTGAGTAGCTGGGATTACAGGCATGCACCACCATGTCCAGCTAATTTTTTGTATTATTATTTTTAGTAGAGACTCAGTATGTCTATGTTGCCCAGGCTGGTCTCGAACTCCTGGCCTCAAGCAATTCTCCTGCTTTAGCCTCCCAAAGTGCTAGGATTACAGGTATGAGCCACCATGCCCAGGCTGAAGCCCTGTTTCATAGATAAGGCTAAACATTTTCCTGTGTGCCCATAGAGCCTTATGCACTTCTCCACTTTATTGCTTGCTTTCTTGCTGCAATTAGATCAAAAATAATTGAATACTGGTTCAACATCAAATATATATATATATTTGAGGCAGAGTCTTGGTCTGTCGCCCAGGCTGGGGTGAAGTGACACGATCTCAGCTCACTGTAGCCTCTGCCTCCTGTGTTCCAGCAATTCTCCTGCCTCAGCCTCCCAAGCAGCTGGGATTATAGGCGTGCACCACCATGCTTGGCTAATTTTTGCACTTTTTTAGTAGAGATGGGGTTTCACCATGTTTGCCAGGCTGGTCTCAAACTCCTGTCTTCAGGTGATCTGCCCACCTCAGCTTCCCAAAGTTTTAGAATTATAGGCATGAGTCACTGCACCCGACCTGTTAATGTTATTTTCAAACAAACCTTCAAAAGTTTATTCCAAGGCCTTGCTCTCATAGCAGCAAAGGCTGTCTGTTGCACAGTGGGTCTCTTGGTAGCATCTTCCTGTTGGTGGATGTGGATATTGTGCAGACCTGGGGCAGTAAGGCATGTTAACCTCGAGGACATTGGACCTGGCTGGCCTGACTGTTGGGTCTCCCTCCTAGGACACGGTGAGCCATGGGCAGGATGGTGCCTTTCAAAGCTGCTCTGACGGAGCGCTTAGACCTAATCCAGCCCTCCAGGGAGCAGGTGCAGAGACTCATAGCAGAACACCTTCCACACCTGACTCCCAGCATAAGGTAAGAGGAGCCCTTGCTGCAGGTCTATTTCAGGACCAGTGTTGGGGGGCACATCCTTCTGACAGCATCTAACTATTGCTGTAGACCGTGCTCTGGGTGGTTTATTTATTTTTATTTTTTAATTTTATTATTATTTTAAAAAATGTATTTATTTTATTTTTTCGAGATGGAGTCTCTCTATGTCACCCACGCTGGAGTGCAGTGGCATGATCTTGGCTCACTGAAAGCTCCCCCTCCCGGGTTCAAGCGATTCTCCTGCCTCAGCCTCCCGAGTAGCTGGGACTACAGGCGCCCGCCACCCGCCCAGCTAATTTTTTGTATTTTCAGTAGAGACAGGGTTTCACCGTGTTAGCCAGGATGGTCTCGATCTCCTGACCTCATGATGTGCCCGCCTCGGGCCTCCCAAAATGCTGGGACTACAGATGTGAGCCACCGCACCTGGCCTCAACATCAAATATACTTAAATGTTGGTACCAGCCAGGTACGGTGGCTCATGCCTGTAATCCCAATACTTTGGGAGGCCGAGGCAGGTGGATTACCTGAGGTCAGGAGTTCAAGACCAGCCTGGTCAACATGGTGAAAACCCATCTCTACCAAAAATTACAAAAAAAAATTAGCTGGGTGTGGTGGCACATGCCTGTAATCCCAGCTACTCAGGAGACTGAGGCATAAGAATCACTTGAACCTGGGAGGTAGAGGTTGCAGTAAGCCAAGATTATGCCACTGCCCTCCAGCCTGGGCAGCAGAGTAAGACTCCATCAAAAGAAAAAAAAGATGGGTGTAGTGTGGGGGATTAAAAAAAAAAAAAAAAAAAAGGAAAAAGAAATGAATGAATCTGTGAGTACACTCTTATTTGGCCTGCACTGACTTTGACACAAGTTACATTGGCTCAGTAGACAAGGTGGGATCTTTTCATAATTTTATTTGATGTCTTTAAATACATTTATCTTTTTTCTTGGAGGAAAATTCTTCTAAGGATAGTCTCCCACTCAGAGCTAAGGAAGCTGTTCTACTCAGCACATGCAATGTGTTTTGATGTTGACAGAACGGTCATCAGAGAAGAAGGAATCGATGAGCTAGCCAAAATGTGTGGCGCTGAGGATGCGGTGTCAGAAATGTAGGGATAGCATTTATCCACTTTATGAAATGATAAAGACTTTTGGATGAAGTGCTAGACCCTGGCTATATGGAACATGAGCACTAGGCTTTTTCTTTCATCCCTTAGAGCTGAATTTGATATATTCATTCATTTATAGAAATATTTATGGCAAACAAATATGGATAAGACATGTTTTTAGCTTGATCAGGGGAATGACGACCGTCACTAACTAAAGAAGATGGCCTGGGGGGCGGGGTCCAAGTGTCCGGCAGCTTTGTGTCATAGTTGAAAGTGTGGCCTTAGTGGTTCCCTGGAAAGGTTCAGAGTCTCTTGGTGGATCCTGGGTCAGAGCCCCTCCCTCCCTCCTGCCCTGCAGCTTGGGCACCTCCCCCTGCAGTCGCAGTCCCCCAGTCATGCACCATGTCATTTTCCAGCTGGTGTGCAGTGGCTCAATCTCAGCTCACTGCCACCTCTGCCACCCGGGTTCAAGCAATTATCCTGCCTCAGCCTCCCAAGTAGCTGGGATTTCAGGCACCACCACCACGCCAGGTAAACTTTTCTATTTTCAGTAGAGACGGAGTTTCACCACGTTGGCCAGGCTGGTCTCAAACTCCTGACCTCAGGTCATCCACCCGCCCCAGCCTCCCAAACTGCTGGGGTTACAGGCATGGGCCATCGCACCCAGCCTCTTTTCCTCTCCTATCTGACTCACTAGATGGGATCTGTTAGGTAAATCAGAAACCAAAGAGGAGTAGCATTCAACACTCCGTTGCCCAATGAGCAAATCTATTATCAAGCCCAGTGCACTCTACCTCCTGAATAGCTCCTTACTTGTAACACTTTTGCATCTCCACCAGTAACTTCTAACTGGACTGCCCACATCCAGTGCTATGTATGTTCTCTACACCCAGCTAAATAAAATATTCATTCCAAAATGTAGAGCAAGTAGGTCATTGTCATGCTTCTGTTGTTTAAAGCTTCTTAATGCTTATAGGACAAAGAAAAATCATGCTTGTGTGGCCCTACCCTGTATACATCTCCAGCTTCCTGGCACCTGCTCCCCCTTGCTCTTTAGGCTTCAGACACAGTGGCTTCTTTCAGACCCTGCGCCCCTCCTTTCTGAGGTTACTGACTAGCATGGAATTCCCTGCCCTCCTTAATGCCTGCCTGATTGCTGTGCATCTTTGACTTGGCAGCTTACGACTCAGTACCTCAGGGAGGCCTTGGCTGAGCTCCCTGATTAGGTCAAATTTTCTTCTTCTATAGGCTCTTAGAGTCCTATAATTCTCTTTTTCTATCACTTCTCATATTTGTCTGTGAGGGTGATTTGTTTAATGTCAGTTTTCTGCTACTAGAGTGTAGGCTTCATGAGGATAGGGATTCGGTTAGAATTCTTCCACTATTTCTAGTAGAAGGAACAAGGCCTAACACATAGTAAATACTGAGGAAGGCCAGGTGTGGTGGCTCATGCCTATAATCCCAGCACTTTGGGAGACTGAGAGGCAGGCAGAACACGAGGTCAGGAGTTCGAGACCAGCCTGGCCAACATAGTGAAACCCCATTTCTACTAAAAATCCAAAAAAAATTAGCCGGGCGTGGTGGCGGGTTCCTGTAATCCCAGGTACTGTGGAGGCTGAGGCAGGAGACTCACTTGAACCCGGGAAGCAGAAGTTGCAGTGAGCCGAGATCGCGCCATTGCACTCCAGCCTGGGCAACAAGAGCAAAACTCTGTCTCAAAAAAAAAAAAAAATACTGAGTAAATGGGTTATTTCCCCAATGATTGCCTTTTTAAATAAAACCAGTTTTATAAACCTGATTTCTAGAAAATCAGTTCCGTAAACCAGCATTCATCAGGCTTATCATTCATATGGCTTTTTAGATTTTGAATTATTTTTTGTGAGGATTTTTAGTAATATGTTTCCTAATAATGGACCATGTTTAATTTTTTTTTTTTTTTGTGGGACGGAGTCTCGTGCTGTCACCAGGCTAAAGTGCAGTGGTGCGATTTAGGCTCACTGCAACTTCTACCTCCTGGGTTCAAGCGATTCTCCTTCAGCCTCCTGAGTAGCTGGGACTACAGGCGCCTGCCACCATGCCAAGCTAACTTCTGTATTTTTGGTAGAGTCGGGGTTTCACCATGTTGGCCAGGGTGGTCTCAATCTCTTGACCTCATGATCCGCCCGCCTCGGCCTCCCAAAATGCTGGGATTACAGGTGTGAGCCACAGTGCCCAGCCTCATGGTTAAATTTTTGAAGCAAGCCTTACTTGATCATGTTGTGATACAGTTATAACATATGCCGCTTTCTCTTTGCTAGGTTATTAAGATTTTGCAGTTAAAATTATTTTCTTCTTTGTGTGCTTTGTCAGATTTTGACATCAGTCTTACACTAGTATTTCTTCATGGCCTATTCTGTTATTTTCAACTTTTCTATATCTATATCCTTAAGCTTAAAAATGTCTCTTCTAAACAGCATATGACTGAGGCTTTTTATTATTAGGTTTTATAATTTTTGTATTTTAATTGGAGCATTTAGTTTGTATAATGTGGTTAATATACTCTTTGCTTTCTATTTTTGTCAAAAATTTGAATAGAACAAAAGGTCAACCTCCCCCAAGCAAGAGGGAATTCTCTGGCAGTCTGCCTTTGGACTTGAATTGCAACTCCTTCCTGAATCTCCAGCCTTCCAGCCTCTTCTATTACGAGTCAATTCCTTAAAATAAATCTATATAATATATATTTAATATAACTAATATATAATGTGGCTATCTAGTAGAAGTACTATATGCTTAATATGACATATAATTACAGTAGTACCTCCTTATCTGGGGGAGGGATTATGTTCCAGGACCCCCAGTGGATGCCTGAAACGACAGATGTGTATTTCCCTATACATACATAGCTGTGATAAAGTTTAATTTATAAATTAGGCACAGTAAAAAATTAACAAGAATAACTAATAATACAATAATTATAATAATATACCAGCATGTTCCTTTTTCCCTTTTTTGTTGCTTTTTGGATTGATAGACTTTTTTTTAATATCCTAACTTTTTTCTCTCTTGCCAAGTTATAGACCCTGTTCTTTTCATGGTTACCCTACAGATTACAACACGTAGCCTACATGTGTCACATTAATGTAATTGATATATTAGTCCATTTGTTCTTCTTAGACAATACAGAGGTCTTGGAACACTTTTAATTTCTTTTATCAGTTCCTTAATTTTTTTTATCAGTATATATATATATGTATATACACACACACACACATATATGTATAATGTGTATTCTAATTATATGTGTTTTAAAACCCATAAAACATTATTATTGTTTAATATGGTCACCATTCATTTATATCTATAGATATATTACCATTTTCATTTTTCATCATTGCTTTTTTAACCTTTTTGAGATTATTTATTTTCTGATTGAAGAACATACTTTAATAAGTTGTTAGTATAGTTTTGCTGGTAATGAATTCTCTTGAATTTTCTTGGTCTGAAGGTTTTTTAATTTTACCTTTAGGGGTCGGGCATGGTGGCTCACGCCTGTAATCCCAGCACTTTGGGAGTCAGAGGCTGGTGGGTCACTTAAAGTCAGGAGTTCAAGACCAGCCTGGCCAGCTTAGTGAAACCCTGTCTCTACTAAATATATAAAAATTAGCCAGGCCTGGTGATGGGCACCTGTAATTCCAGCTACTCAGGAGGCTGAGGCAGGAGAATTGCTTTAACTCAGGAAATGGAGGTTGCAGTGAGCCAAGATCGTGCTACTGCACTCTAGCCTGGGCAACAGAGTTAGACTAATCTCAAAAAACAAAAATGTTTAAGAAACTTTAGGCTCTTAAAAGATAATTTTACAGGGTATAGTAATATTTTTTGGTGCTATAATATAAAAATAAATTTA